AAAAGGAAATCTGCATGCTTACAGTGTTTTATTGTTGGCTCAATGAATGCATGAAATTTAAAGTCGTAGTTTTATAAGTAAAAATAACGAAGTAATTGAAAATGATAAAGAAAAAAAAAAAAAAAAGGTGGAATTCAGAGGGAAACTAGAATCTGAGAAGAGAAAGTCCTTTTTGACACATATATGTTATATCTGATCAAAACAATTAGAATATAATTTTTAAGGCAAAGTAGAGTTGGTTAATTTCATTATGAAAACAAATTTACAGGGGGAAAAGTTGTTCCTTCAGTACGTGTATTTGTTGATAGTATTTAATCCAGGTCTTTGCTTTGAATATATATTATACATATCCATTGTTTGTTACCTTAAATTTCGGAAAGGTACGTAATTCTCTGAACTGTAATCATGAATATATTTTATTGTGTCCTGCCTCTTTCTGGTATATGAAAATGGACAAGATAAACATCTACTTATTATTTCTCCAATATATATGACTTCAATGAGAATTTGTTTCTATGGAGTGTGAACAAGCATTTCAAAAGGAGTTTGTACTTCATTCCTTCATGTTCTTGAATCTGCTTGTTTGATATATTTCCTAAATCCAAAGAGCAAGAAAAAATAATAAAAAGAATCTTTATCCAAGAGTATGTTTACTGTTGTGTTTTAATGCTCCCAAATAAAAGAAATAAGGTATGATGTGTGTGTTTAAGTTCGTAGACGAGAGCCTCCTAACCTAAACTTCTGAACGTGAATTTGAGAATATTTGTTTTAACATGTGACATTATATCATTTTTATGAAAAGGATACATTTTTTCTTTGTTTTCTGTACATTTTTGTGTTGAAATATGCATTTGTAAACTAGTCCAGTGCCTCCATCTGATGATCTTTTCTTGTAATTTTTTTTTTTTCTTTTTTTAATTATTCAGACATGACTTTGAGTGCCTTTACTTTAAGGAAAAATTTTGTATCGTCACTATATATAAATATATATAAGAAGAGTAAATTTTCTTTATTAACAAACTTGTGTGTCCTTCATCCTCAATGTGAGATAAGAACTCACCTCAGAGCCATTAAACAGCAGGTGGTACTGGACTAGCCCTTCTAGGTAGGTTTGTTCCTTGGTTCCACACCTGATATAAACTGTGCTGGACTGAGAGCCAAAGATGCAATATCGTGACAAACAAACTACAGTAGGACGTCGTCTTCTGAGGCGAGTTGATTTGACAATACTCCTTTTCCCAACAGGATTTCATAGGCGTATACCGGACGAGGGAAGGGGATTTGCTGAGCATGACGAGGATGCTGACGGAGAGCGTCTCCCAAGAGGTTCAGAGAGAGGTACAGGAGAGCAAAGTTACAGAACAGGCAGCACAAGAATGGTACCAGGTGGCAGCTATTCCAGGAAAGCTCAAATATGATCCTAAATACCCCATTCTAGGTTACAGTGACTTAAGCTCCGAAAATGTTCATGATGAGGGTGGTGGTGACGAGATAAGCGAACATGAGAAGTGTGAAGTCGGATGTGAGAAGGACATAACCAGTGATTGCTATGCCGAGGTTACTGTCACTGCAAATAAAGAAACTAAGGAAGTACCGAAGTGTAATGTATATGATGGAACTATAAAAACAGCCCCAGTTTTTGAGGAAAAGAGTAATGGTGACTCTAATGTCTTATTTAGAGATGTTACTTGAAGGTAGTGTGCCATTTTTGCTTGTGGAATAATCCAGTTAATGCAGAAGTCATACAAAATGTGCAGTGTATAATAACAGCTTGAAGGGAAAATGGGTGATGCCTCTTTATGATATTTTTTAATTGTTATTTGTGAAATGGTTGCAAAAAAAGGATTGAAAGTGATAATTCCTTAATTATCAACTCAGGGTAAGGATGGTAGCTATTCTGTGGTAGTGAATGAATACTTTTATTTTGATTTAGAAAGAAATATACCAGTTATAGTTATATATTTTTTCAGAGTTATTTTTTAATGTGTATATATATACAATTGCTTACATGCCTCCCAGCCATTTTACTTCTTGAATATTTTCTGGCAAAATTCACATGCATCATATACTTGTTTATAAATGTAGTGAAGATAAAGATAAAGGGTGCCAGCATATAGTGCCATAAGCTTTAGCAAGTCAAAGCCAAGGTAGTAGTCACAATAATCTTATTCTCGTGTCGGGAAAAATAGTCACTGGAAGCTGTTTCCAAATAGGAGACACTGATGCATTTTTTCCTTCTTTCTGTGTTCATGGTTGGGACCTGCTTTGAGCTTCATCATTTCTCTCCACTCCTTAGCATTGGGATATTCAGAATTTTGATTTTTATTCAAGAAAGGAAGACGACTGTTCAGTGTTTTACGTCATCATTTCCTTCAGTCTCTGAGAACAGTGACGCATTTATCATCTGTATTGCTTTCCTATATACACTGACCTGAGAGGATTGATATTTATTCTCTCTCTCTCTCTCTCTCTCTCTCTCTCTCTCTCTCTCTCTCTCTCTCTCTCTCTCTCTCTCTCTCTCTCTCTCTCTCTCTCTCTCTCTCTCTCTCTCTCTCTCTCTCTCTCTCTCTCTCTCTCTCTCTCTCTCTCTCTCTCTCTCTCTCTCTCTCTCTCTCTCTCTCTCTCTTCTCTCTCTCTCTCTCTCTCTCTTCTCTCTCACTCTCTAGATTTGTTTAAATGTTGAATGATCTGATTATTACAATTGTGAAATGTGTATCAAATCAGGTGGACATTTTTTTGTAAAGCATTTTTTACATATTTTATTTTAAAATCACTGTGTAAATCTTTGGATTTAACAAATGACAATTTAAATGTAGTTTAGGATTTTTATGTAAGTAATGAGATTTTAGCTTGGAGTCCAGGAATGGTTTAGTGGGTTGGGATGGAAGCTGTTACAGTATCTATATTTTGTATGTTAGTGTATATGCAGTCCCTTTCTCACTCCCTCTTCCTACCCTACCCTATCTTACTACCCTACTGTCCTACCCTAACCTCTTCTTTCCTTTCTTCTCGTCTCCTCTCTCCTACCCTCTTCTTTCCTTTCTTCTCTTCTCTTCTCCTACCCTCTTCTTTCTTCTCTTCTCCTCTCTCCTACCCTCTTCTTTCCTTTCTTCTCTTCTCCTCTTTCTTACCCTCTTCTCTCCTTTCATCTCATCTCCTCTCCATTCCTCTCCCCTCCTCTCCTTTCCTCTCCTATACTTTCCATTTCTCTCCCCTCCTCTCCATTCCTCTCCTCTCTCTTCCCCTCCTCTCCTCTCCTCTCCTCTTCCACCCCATCTCTTGCAATCCCTCAAAGACACAGAGTATAAATTATCCAAATGTGCACATACACATTAGACCACCATGTAGCATCTAACTCCCCTCATTTAAGACTCACATGACCACTAGTCAGAGCAATGTGTTTATGTATATGTGTGTGTGTGTGTATGTATGGATATGTATATATAAATATATATAGTTATAAAGACATTTATATATATCAATATGTATATATACATACAGACATGCATGTATACATACACATATATAAAGATACATATATACATACGTATGTACATATACATATTTATGCATATTCATATACATATATATATATATTATATATATATATAATAATATATATATATATATATATATATATATATATATATAAATATATATATATATGTGTGTGTGTGTGTACGTACATATACGTATACGTATACATATATGATATGTATATATATACATATATAGATACATATTATATAATATATATTTATATTATATATATGTTATATATAGATACTATATCTATGTATTCTATATTGCAATATATATATATACATCATATATATACAGTATTTCATTATATATATGTATTAATTACATTATTTATATATTATATATATAATTACATTATATATATATATATATATATATATATATATATATTATATATATATATATATATATATAATATATATATTTAATGTATATATTACATTAATATATATGTTTATGTATGATTATGTTCATGTCAAGTGCATAATAGATCTGAGAGCAGTAAGTAGTTTTGTAAAATTACATTATTCAGTCATGCCTCTGTTTCAGATGAAATTCAGGTAGCATCAATAGACAACTTTTATGCACACTAACTTTAGACTGGCATGCTTACATTATTAAATGGTGCCTTCATTCCTATATTCTGCAAAGGACATGAAAAATCTATTTGGCTTTACATATTACAGGTAAAGAATAATAAATGTTAACAATATCCCCATGTTTCTCTGAAATCTTCAATTTTGTCCAAGAATGATCTAGCCTTCCTAAAGGATGTACAGTGTTGTCTTTGATACAAATAATGCAACATTTTTAAGTATTATCAATTTGACTTGTTTTTCATTAGCCAGGGTATCTGAGTGCAGTTAGAGAGAGAGGGAGAGGGAAAGGGTGAGGTAGAGGGATAAAGGGAGGGATAGAGAGAGAGAGAGAGAGAGAGGACGGGGGGGGGGGGAGGGGAGAAGAAGAGAATAGGGGAAGGATTGAAAGAGGTGGAGAGAAAAAAAGGGAAGAGAAAACAAAAGGGATAATGAGAGGCAAATATTCACTGTTATAATTTATTTTCACTAGTCAACAAATACATGAATCGTCTCATATAAATGTACAAAACAATTATTACAAACTTTATTTATCATACAAATACCATTAAGTATTGTACATCTGTCTTTGTTCACTTATGAAAATATGCTTTCCAAAATAATTCCTATCTTGGACGATATACATCAAAATATATGCAAGCCTATTTAGCTGACAAAATATTTCTCCTTTTAGCTTTTTTTTTTTTTTTTTTCTTCTTTTTTTACATACAGAATATATTCATACACAAAACAAATATACAAATCAGATGATAACACAGCTATCTCACTTTCCAACACAAAATAAAATAATGAAGTGAATATCTGCAACCATTGCAATACCTATGATATGTTGACTTACATAGCACTATAAGTATATTGATCTAGGTACAATGCGCTCATCAGATCACCTTAACTGCATACGAAATTCAAAAGGCACATGAATCCAAAACATACATGGCTCAACAAAAGAATAGAAAAAAAATCAATATTCCTTGATTATTTCACATTCTTTTAAACAGACAATTAAAACGAGCTCCAATTTGCATATACAACTCAAGGCAGAATAAAGAAATGAAATAACAATCTTTCTTTGTCTATGTCTGTCTAATGTATATACATTAATATATATCAATATATATATATGTACAGTCAGTGTATCAGTCTGTTTCAGTCTGTCTGGCATACACATGTATGGTATTATTGACCTAATCACAAGAGTTTCTATAGTAATTTACAATGATAAGAATGAGGTAGCAAAGAATTTGGCAGAATAATTTAAGAGGGGGGGGGAGCAGGGTGGTATACAGAGGGAAAAAAGAGGATGAAAGGGGAGAGAGAACGAAGGAAGGAGACGTACATTGGAAGAAGGGGAGGTAGGTAGGGAAGGAGGAGGGGTGGGGGTAGGGTGGGAAAGGGTGGGGGTAGGGTGGGAAGGGGGTGGGGTAGGGTGGGAAGGGGGTGGGGGTAGGGTGGGAAGGGGGTGGGGTAGGGGTAGGTGGGGAAGGGGGTGGGGGTAGGGGTAGGGTGGGAAGGGGTGGGGTAGGGGGTAGGGTGGGAAGGGGAGGAGGTAGGGTGGAGGGGGGAGGGAGAAAGAGAAAGGAGAGGAAAGGAGTAAAGGATGTAAGGAATATTAATAAATAACAAGGTCACCAGAAGTTGAACATTTTAAGAAACCTAACCCTAAATAAAACAGGACAGCATGCATGACCTTTTTATTTTGGTAATGCATGCTTAGAAGCTAACTGTAAAGATCTCCAATTGTTTGTGTAAGTTACAGAATGGAGAAAAAAATATATATAAATATATCTAAAGTCAATCAAGCAACAAATTTAATTACAGACCAACATGTTTTCTTTTTTTTTTTCATTCTGGAAATAATGAAAAATAAATACCGTAGATGAAATACTAATAAGTTTTCATTTCACTCACAAATTATTCTTGCAAAGTGCAATACCAACTCCAGGTAGTGAGATTCAGATACAGACGGAGGAGGGAGGGAGGGAGAGGGAGGGAGGGGGAGGAGGGAGGGAGGAGGAGGGGAGGAGGGGGGAGAGGGGAGAGGGGGAGAGGGGGAGAGGAAGGAAGGAAGGAAGGAAGGAAGGAGAGAGAGAGAAAGAAAGAGAGAGAGAGAGAGAGAACTGGGTTCCTGTTCTGGTTGCACTCCAATGCCATTTATCCAGTCTCGGCACATCTAGAATATCCAAAACAAAATAACAATAAAGATAATAATAATAAAAACATTAAATAAACAAGCAAACAGTAGGGTCTGGCCAAAAAAATACTATAGATCTGGTCGCCCTAGTTACCCAAGGGGGGATACTTCCCGACCTAAGCAGACGGTGAGGCTTGTGCAACCCCCGGCTCTAGGATATAAATCGGTGTGAAAGAAGGGTATCGTAGAATTCAAATGAACTGACTCTTGCAGTATTATAGTATTCTCTTACATTCAGCATCTAATAGAAACAAAAATACAGCCCCAAAAAACAAAATCCACAACTCAAAAAAAAAAGGCAAATCAGAGCATTTAAAAGGCAATATATATTACTTATTCTCTTTTTTTTTTTCTTTGCCTGAGAAGATAAAGGTAACCACAAGATCCTAATAAATAAAGCAGACACAAACAAAACACAAAAATCACAAAAAAAATTGAGATTATTTCCTGAGATTTCAAAACATTTGGATCGACATTTAGTGTGAGACGACAAGTCAGATTTCTAATTCCTTGCATAGTAAAAGTGAACAGCATGGTTCCCTTGATAAAATATATTATACAACACACAAAACAATACAATATTACGTGAACTTACTTCTGTTCATATTTATACATGTCCCATATCAAAATATATAGAGGCAATTTTGGTTGTGAAAGAAATTGTATTTGTGCCAAGACAAAAGTTGTATAAAAAACTGCATAGCAATAGTAGTTGTTGCTTATGTTGATGTTGTAGTAGTAATAGTATGGTGGTGGTGGAAACTGTAGTTGTTTTGTTGTAGTAGTAATGGTGATTGTAGTAGTAGTTGTAGTAATTGTTGTTGTTGTAGTAATTGTTGTTGTAGTAGTAGTAGTTGTAGTAGTTGTAGTAGTAGTAGTAGTAGTGTAGTAGTAGTAGTAGTAGTAGTAGTTGTAGTAGTAGTAGTAGTAGTTGTAGTAGTAGTAGTAGTAGTAGTAGTAGTAGTAGTTGTAGTAGTAGTAGTAGTTGTAGTAGTAGTAGTAGTAGTAGTAGTAGTTGTAGTAGTAGTAGTGTGTAGTGGTTGTAGTGTTGTAGTAGTTGTAGTTGTAGTTGTGAGTAGTAGTAGTAGTGGTTGAAGTAGTATAGTAGTGGTTGAAGTAGTAGTAGTTGTAGTAGTAGTAGTAGTAGTAGTAGTAGTAGTAGTAGTAGTA